AATAACCCATGCCTGTCGTAAGAGGCCACTAACGGGATCGGGTGGTCAGGCTCGCTGACTTGGTTGACACATGTCATCGGTTCCCAACTGCGCAGATCGATACGCATGCTGTTGATCACTGGATTGTCTGGTCCAGACTCGATTATTTATAGCTAAGAAACATAGCGTTCACTACGCTCATGTTAGTGAACGCTATGCATCTTAGCTAGATTATTTACAGACCGCCGCCAAATAGCTGGACTATTGCTGAGTGTGGCGTAAATCTAAACTCACTCACTCACTCAGTTGGTTCGTAAACTACTTTCTATCATTTGCTAGACTATGCAAAGGGAGATAACTCGTGCCTCGCATTCCTCTATCTCTCGCACGAAAGAGTCTCAATCTAAGCTTGGATCGGATCGTAAGATCGGGACCGGCTACGATAGGCCTAAGATCGGGTGGTGGAACGGGTGTAACTTTTAGCTAAGACGATTGTAAAATTAGCGTAACTTGCTAAGATTGATCTTAGATAAGATCGGTTAGTGGAACGGCACCCTGAGCGTTCAATAAAAATGTTCTGCAATTCGTGGTTTAGACTTTATTATAGTGATATAATGAATTATTTTTGAGTGAAATGTAAGGAAATAAGTTGATTTTGGTGATGAAAGTAAAAGTTTGCATGATATCACGCGATAAACGGCAGATTAGTTGGTAACATGTGTATTCGTTGGTAAAATTCCGTATTTGTAGGTAACATCAGTCAGTGTGTCTTGTTCAGGGCTGTCACCGATGCACTTGCGAACATAGGAGAATTGAGACTGTAGTAGAAGTTAGTTGCATGGGTTTAGTAATTAGATTTGTCAAAGGTATGTCGTATTCGTAGGTAGTTCGTTTTTGTAGTTGAAACTTTCTGTAAATGTCTATCTAATATCAACTGTCATTGCAAAATATGGGTAATTAAAGCAGAGTTATAGTTCAGTAAGACGCATAATGTATTGATTGTTTTAGTGACATGTTTATCTGTACATAATGGTATATGGTGTACGGTAATAGTTCAAGCGTGTTAAACATTATTTTACAATGCATCAGTTCATGTGTAAACAGTACCTTTAAACAGTATTGAATATTTTGCAAAATGTAGTTTAGAACAGTTGACCGAAGTAAGTGGCTATATTTACACTAGTGAGTCTAAACTTTAGATGGGAAGTATATCATCAACACGAGTTATCAGGGTGACTCATTTGTTATGTTTGCTATGCTCTTTTGTACCCACCACCATTTCTGGTCTCTGATATTGCTGGGATATTGCTACAAGCGGTGTAAAACTTAACTTAACTCACTACACAGCGGTTGTGTTTGACAATTGTATAGTGTATACTGTACACCCTAAACTCGAGGACTCATTGCGGTTATTTTACTATGTTGACATGCAATGCTCTATTCAAAACACTCGTCTGCTGGGAATTCCGGTTTCAACAACCCCGTCAACACGACATACAAACGACGCGAACGACATCCTCGACGCGTCACTGATCTGAGTGTCCCTTGCCCGCCGTCTGTTCCGCGTCAGTGCGTAGAACGCTGTCAAGTGATTACTGACTGTAGGCGTAGCCCTTGTGTATGAAGTGGGTCAGGCTGACCCACAACGAGCGCATCACCTGCCGATTATTCTGTTGAGTGCATTTACTGGATCCTGCTCTCCAGGTGCACGTGATCGGGGTCGGCTGCTGCTGCATCTACAACTGCAACGTCTACGCGCAGTCCTTCTACTCAGATAACATCTGAAACCTCTAGCGTAACTCGTGAAAATCCGGGTTAGATTTAGCCCTGACCAATCCATGCTTGCACAGCCTGCCATACCGACCCGAAAACACCGTACACAGTACTATTCTAGCTACATGGCAAGTCTACATTACTACAAACAGGAAGTCAAACTATTATATCTACTACTATATAACCAATCCATGCTTGCCCAGCCTGCCATTCCTACCCGAAAACACCGTACACAGTACTATTCCAGCTACATGGCAAGTCTACATTACTACAACCAGGAAGTCAAACTATTATATCTACTACTATATAACCAATCCATGCTTGCCCAGCCTGCCATACTGAACCAAAACACCGTACACAGTACTATTCCAGCTAAATGGCTAGTCTACATTACTACAAACGGGAAGTCAAACTATTATATCTACTACTATATAACCAATCCATGCTTGCACAGCCTGCCATACCGACCCAAAACACCGTACACAGTACTATTACAGCTATATGGCAAGTCTAAAATACTACAACCGGGAAGTCAAAATATTATATCTACTACTATATTACCAATCCATGTTTGCCCAGCCTGCCATACCGACCCAAAACACGGTACACAGTACTATTCCAGCTACATGGCAAGTCTACATTACTACAACCGGGAAGTCAAACTATTATATCTACTACTATATAACCAATCCATGCTTGCCCAGCCTGCCATACTGACCCAAAACACCGTACACAGTACTATTCCAGCTATATGGCAAGTCTACATTACTACAAACGGGAAGTCAAACTATTATATCTACTACTATATAACCAATCCATGCTTGCCCAGCCTGCCATTCCTACCCGAAAACACCGTACACAGTACTATTCCAGCTACATGGCAAGTCTACATTACTACAACCAGGAAGTCAAACTATTATATCTACTACTATATAACCAATCCATGCTTGCCCAGCCTGCCATACTGAACCAAAACACCGTACACAGTACTATTCCAGCTAAATGGCTAGTCTACATTACTACAACCGGGAAGTCAAACTATTATATCTACTACTATATAACCAATCCATGCTTGCCCAGCCTGCCATTCCTACCCGAAAACACCGTACACAGTACTATTCCAGCTACATGGCAAGTCTACATTACTACAACCAGGAAGTCAAACTATTATATCTACTACTATATAACCAATCCATGCTTGCCCAGCCTGCCATACTGAACCAAAACACGGTACACAGTACTATTCCAGCTATATGGCAAGTCTACATTACTACAAACGGGAAGTCAAACTATTATATCTACTACTATATAACCAATCCATGCTTGCCCAGCCTGCCATACCGACCCAAAACACCGTACACAGTACTATTCCAGCTATATGGCAAGTCTACATTACTACAAACGGGAAGTCAAACTATTATATCTACTACTATATAACCAATCCATGCTTACCCAGCCTGCCATACCGACACACAACACTGTACACAGTACTATTCCAGCTATATGGCAAGTCTAAATTACTACAAACGGGAAGTCAAACTATTATATCTACTACTATATAACCAATCCATGCTTGCACAGCCTGCCATACCGACCCAAAAACACCGTACACAGTACTATTCCAGCTACATGGCAGGTCTAAATTACTACAACCGGGAAGTCAAACTATTATATCTACTACTATATAACCAATCCACGCTTGCCTACCCTGCCATACCGACCCAAAACACCGTACACAGTACTATTCCAGCTACATGGTAAGTCTACATTACTACAAACGGGAAGTCAAACTACTATATCTACTACTATATAACCAATCCATGCTTGCCCAGCCTGCCATACCGACCCAAAACACGGTACACAGTACTATTCCAGCTACATGGCAAGTCTACATTACTACAAGCGGGAAGTCAAACTATTATATCTACTACTATATAATCAATCCATGCTTGCCCAGCCTGCCATACCGACTCAAAAACACCGTACACAGTACTATTCCAGCTACATGGCAAGTCTAAATTACTACAACCGGGAAGTCAAACTATTATATCTACTACTATATAACCAATCCACGCTTGCCCACCCTTCCATACTGACCCAAACACCGTACACAGTACTATTCCAGCTACATGGTAAGTCTACATTACTACATTTCACCTTGAAAATCAAAAAAGTTTCGGAAGACCTTTTTATGATATTTAAGATCCATTTTCGGTAAAATATGTTCATTTCAGAGACTAGGTTTGCAACCGGGAAGTCAAACTATTATATCTACTACTACATAACCAATCCTGCTACTTATACAACTTATGCGGTTATGTATCTACTTTATTATCTTTCTCCCCTGTGGATTCTGGTAAGGAATACGTGTCCTCCGTAACTTATGGCTATCGTAAGTGGTGAGTTGAAGGCTCCCGTGATCAGTCTCGTGTCTTGCGAGTCTACGTGCATGTCATTGTATCGATGCTGCGTAGATATATGTTTATGATGTCAAACATTTGATTGTCTGGTCCAGATTAATTACAGACAGATGTCATCCATCATGCACAATTGCGTAAACTAAAGTCTTGCTATTTGTCACTGGATTGTCAGGTATATACACAAAGCCGCCATATGACCAGCCAGACAAAGCATACGCTCAGCGTTAAACGATAATCATTACAGCAATTGGCCATTGTCTGATATACACTTGCGTCTGTCATGTATGTAAGTAGCTACATGATGTCTATGCGTTCTATCCAGTATAAAAATCTATCGTAGAGGCTGCTTGTGGGATGACGCAAGATGTCATACTGTACCATTGAAATATTTTATACATTGCAATTGGTATTGACTGCCATTAGTCTCGTTTGTTTCTGACACATTACAATTGGGCGTGTTGGTTTGGTTGTTGTTTTACGCCGCACTCAGCAATATTCCAGCTATATGGCGGCGGTCTATAAATATCCGAGTCTGGACAAGACAATCCAGTAATCAAAAGCACGAGCATCGATCTGCGCAATTGGGATACAAAGACGTCTACCAAGTGAGTGAGCTTGACCACCCGATCCTGCTAGTTGCATCTTACGGCAAGCAGGGCTACTGAATATCACTTCTAACCCGGACAATCACGGGTTCACACCCGTATAAAGATATCCATTCTCTACTGTTAATTAAACAAATGAATACGTGTGAAATGTCACGAACTGAAGTGTCATTGGATTGTTTTAAGATTCAACCAACACGTTGGTGTTTTTTTATGTTTACAGGGTAAACGTTAGGTGTTTGGTCCAATCAAGGGACAAGATGGAAACTCCTGTCGTTACAAGGGACCAGAGCCCATCAAGTGTGATGCATAGTCGCCATGGAGATGATGTTCAGGGTGCTTCTGGAGGTGGTGAAGCAGGGCAAAATGTACATGGCGTACATGGAGGTCCTTCTGCTGCTTCCAACCACATTCGTACCAAAGAGACGGATGGGGCCTCTATCACGTCTTTAGATTCTGTAAAATCACGGGATAATTCTGAGGCTGAACATAAAACTGATCTGAGTGTAAGCAGTAAATGGAAAGTTACTGAAAGACTTGATGAGAAACTTCTTGCCTCTCGCAAACCACCATTACTTGCTCCAATTGTTAAGTGGATGTGGACTATACTGATTGGAGTATTTCTTCTCGCATGCCTGTCAGCCAGCAAGCTTTCCGTCGTGGGTCTGGCAGAAAGACTCAACAACTCTACCAAAGAAGCTATCTCTGCGAGCACCAGAGAGGGGAGGATAGAAGCTACTCGTGTGTTTCTGATGCTCGCCCTGATTTTACTTGTGCCGTGCTGTTTCAATTTCCTAAGAGCTGTGATCCTCTCTTTATTCCGGAAGGACATGCCGTGGCCAAGCATCAAGTCTATAATAATAGTGAGTATTTTCAGGTCTCTATCCCACATCTTGTTTCTAGTCTTGTTTTTCAACAATGAATGAATTCAAATGCTATTTGAAAAGTTAGTACACCCAAGGGCACTATTAAATGGCCTGTGGAACCCTAAGAACTAAATAATGTCAATCAAATACCCCTTTTCAGAGTTGGGCCCCACATGCGACCAAGAAACCTGTGATCTTCCAAACGAACCCCACTTCTGTTGACCATATGTCTTACATTCCCTTATGTCTCGACCATGGGATTTTGGCATGCTACGGGAGGCAACTCCGAAGCATACGTTTTTGCATAATGAGGTGAGGTGAGGTGAAATTGGGTTTATCGTCGTGCTTGAGAATATTTCGCTCATATGATGACGTGCATGCGTGTGTATGTGTATGTGCGGCTGCTTGTACTAGCCCACACTGAAGCTGGTTTTATAGTGTTAGGCCACTGAGATACCATGCCGCAGTGAAGCATGAATACCCCACTCAGACACATTATACTGGCTCCAAGCCATTAATGCCGAGCGCCAGATAGGGACCAAAAAGTACCATATTTTAACGTCTTTTGGTATGACGCGGTCGGAGATCAGACCCGCGACATTCCGCTCACCGGGCGGACGCTCTAACCACTACACCACGGAGGCGGTCTTTTGCATAGCGGTGCCTTGGACATATGAACCACTTCTTTCATCTTGAATTAACCTACCATTAAATAAGTCAAATGCTTACCGATGTCAAACGGAACTAACACACTCATTTAAGGATATATACTATATTTTTGCAGGGTATTGGTGCTGCTGTACTGGAATCGTTTGGAGTGTGTTTGTTTGCGTTGAAGGTTTTGGTGAAATACAAAGGCTACCTCACCATACTTCTGATGAATGCTGTGCTCGTTGTTCCACTTGTTGTCAACACAGTTTTCTACGCAATCCACAGACGACGACAACGAAGGGGCACGGCAGTCTGTGCCATTTCCGCGTTGGCGTGCGTGTTTCAAGTTGCTGGTTTGGGATTAGTTCTGTTTCTGGTTCTAGAACAGGACACGAATAGCGACATATGGCATGCCTTAGTTTCCATTGCTTGTCTCACTGTAGCTTGGGTCCCAGCCATACAGAAACTGACTGTAAAATCGAAACTTGAAACAGATGCCAGTTCCAGCTCAGGAGAAATAGCTTACTCCAGGATAGGAGACACCGAGACTCACTTTGCAGGACCCGGATTGCAGTCAGCCGGTTCATCATGGAAGATGGGAATCATATCCAACTTTGTCAAAGCTGTGTGTGTGTTGGTTTTCAGCTACATATTGTTTTACGTTGACGGCAACATCTATTCAACTGAAATGCTGTTGAAGAATGAGACGTATGAAGATTTCCTTGCGGCTTGGAGGTTTGTCATCAACAGTAACTGTAATTACTTCCTCACTAACATACATGCAACATTGGTCGGATACTTTCTTTCCTTACTTGCCTGTCAGACTGCCGTACACAAATGGGCCTTTGCTATCCCAATCTGTCTAACTTGCCCTCTGTTCGTGGTAGTTTTGCTGGTGAAAAGTTGCTGTTTAGTCGCCTTGCCTTTCTCTCCCGGGGCGTGTGTAGACGACAACAGGAACCTATGGGCTGTGATAGTAGCGACAGCTTGTTTCTGTCTCGCTCATCTTCATTGTACAACGCTGCTGATTTTCAGAAGCAAGTTCATCCCACCCCAAAAGGAATCATCAGTAAGTACTGTGGCTTAATATACTATAACCGTTGCAGTAAATAGAAGAAATGCAAAAGAATACCAAATCTTGAATATCAACAGAAAGAGATTTCACGCCATGAAGGCACAATACGATTTGTAAGTTTGATAACAAACGAAGAAGAAATAGTCTACCACCCATGCCCACCTCTTCTGATAATATTCAGACAAAGAAGATTTCGCAAAAGTGAACCTGAACTATGGAACATGCCGTCACATTTGTAATGAATACTAATTTCTTGTACATTGGTTTGACATTTCCGAACAGGCTGATTGCTTGTTTGAATATTCCAAATCAAACCTACTGAACGGTTGTAAGAATCTGAATATTCACGTCAGTCATTACAAGGATTTGTGTCAACAGGTTAAATGTGTCATCAGGCCAAGGACATAGCAACAGTACAATTTACTGATTGATAAATCCAGCCAAGCAGCAGTGGGGCCGTGCCTAAAATATAATTCATTTGATAGTTACTCGATTATTTACAATCTGCAGTAATACAACCTACTTCGGTGTAAAGGAATACATACGACTGTTCAAGTCACACTTTAGAAACTGCATTACAAACGATATCCCCATTGTATGCATTTATTGTAACTAATGGGAAAATAGACCACAAGTCACTTTTAATTTTCGATTTGGTTGAATGACACAAACTAAAAACATTGTCTAAGATACCCAATACAATAACTAAGACATGTTCCAATACATGTTTTGAAGTGAGCAGGCATTCATGGTGATAATATTTTCATCATCAGATATTCTGGCTGCCATCCTACAATGGCGTTCTGCTGGAGCAGTGGTTGATCCTCAACAGGCAGACAGAGCAAAGAGAACAACCACGCCCAACCCACAGGAGGAGTCGAGTGTACATCTGTACGACCATGTACAGAGAGGTATTTTCTTGCATATGTGTCCAATTTTGTGTCAACATATGCTTATTTTGAGAAGAAGCTATACAGGTTTTAAAAGAGTGTGCCCACATTCATGAAGTTCTACTGGATTCATTGAAAGAACATAATGTTTTTGTCAATATGGTCAAGATATGAGAATACATGTCACAAAACATACCTCTGAGATGATCGTAAATCCAATACTGTAACATCGTCTCACGAGAGTAAGTGATTCTACAGCTTTATGGAACGGGTATTAGTGATCCAGTCATATCATAGTCTATCATATTGTCTGTTGCTTCATCTGAAACTGTCAAAGAGCATAACGGAGACCGATTAGTATGTGGATTTGAGGAGGACAAATCCTCCTCCCATGCTCATGTCAGTGATAAAACAGTCTATTTTACCATCTAGGTGATTTAAGTGCATTATATCTATTTTGGTTCCTCTCTGTCTCTGTATCACCAGACACAAGACGAGATGAGACAACTTCTCCAGTCCATCAACCAAATCAACTTGGCTCGTTTTCATAATGACAGGTTCTTCGAGTCACATATCATGTTCGACAGTGGAATACGGAAGAAAAATATCTCAGAATTTCCTCTTCAGCTCCTGACTCTGATCCAAGAAACTCTAGGCACGTATCTATCACAATGACTTTCCCTTTTACCGTGAGCTAGGATCCACCTTTGACAGATTCGTTTCATCGTAGGCGGTCCCAAAGACACTATATCACACCACACTTCTCTAAAAATATATAATGCATTTCTGTCAATAATATTATCAGCTCTCAGGGAAACTACTATTAAAATGGCGTAGTTAGATTACAATAATAGATTAAAAAGTTCGAACGAATGAATGCAACTCAGCAATACATCGACTCTCACGCCCTCTTTTGGCACACACTGACAACATCGCGTGCGACAGTTTTCGATGCACGGAGCAATTGTTTACTTTCTATATATGGCAAGTGTTTCTCTGCTTGGAAGATACTCGCCTTGAAGTTTCAATTATCGAAATCAGGCAAGTCGTAAGGATAATTACCAATAGTCTTTTATTGCATCAATGGGAAGCTAAAGTGAGTGCATATGCTCCAATATGTAAAACATAGGGCAAAATATGTGGCATTGTGCCTTTAAAGCCAATAACGGTGGTTCCAGATCCATGACTGCTCTGGTTATTTATTTACGGGGGGTAGAGGGGTGATGTAGCATCGGGAAGGACATATATACATTTGGCCGTGGTTGTCAGTCAAGTTGTGTAAGCCCTCAGAATATCCTCTTAGCCTGCAGAACAAGATTTGGGTTCCCTGTTTGAGATACACATGTTATGTCCAACCTCGCACCTTATTCCATTCAGGTATCCTGACAGACAACTGCACGAAGGTGGAGACGCCATATGGGATGAAGTTGAGCTGGAACCTGCCACAGTCAGCTTCAGACGTCAGACCAATGACGTTTAACATACATCTTAAGGACGAACGCAAGGTAATAATTCAATCACACAAATCTTTAAGTTACGATGAGATTGCAAGTGGTATGCTTTTTTGTATCTAAAAGTGAGGGAAAACGTTTCCATTTTCGTAAACTATTTAACCTTTTCTAAAGGAAATGATAAGTTAATTGTAGCGTCACTGGTATTATCCATGAATACTCAGTGCCAATGAGAAAGTGCTCAAATGTGTTTTATGGTAATACACTTTTCAGTAAATTACAGATTCTAGCACCTGTGTTGGGTCATCTGGTAATAAAAACTTGGTCACTGCGTGTTCCTTCCTTAAACATCGTGTTTCGATTCTATCGAACCTCGGGTAGCTCAAACCATTATCTAAGGTCCGTTCAATTTCGATAGTTCCTCAAATGACATTACCCCAGTTCGTCTAGTGTTAGTTGATCCAGCTTAAAACATGTCTTTCTGCAGGTTCGAAACAAGAAACGCTGGAGTCAAATCATGTACATGTCCTACGTGATCGACTTCCTGGTGACCTGTAAGTAGTCTACATGACAGAATAGGTCAATGTACGTGTGAGTGCTTAAGTGGCATGGAATGTATTTGGGGTAGGCTAATGCGTGTAAGTAAAAATGGGTACCCGGTGGTATCAGTCATATGACTATTAACCTTCTAGCGCCGCATAAGTGGCCATGTCAAATTATTAGACAGGTCTCTCAGAGTAGAGAGATAGGTTCGAGTTCTATACTGAGTTCCATATTTGATTATTTATGTATTATTTGTCAATTTCCCTCTATGCATGCTTTATCAAATACACAAATTAGAGCTTTCGTATCTGAGGGGCGGTGGGGTAGCCTTGTGGTTAAAGTGCTTGCTCCTGACGCCGAAGGCCCGGGTTCGATTCCCCACATGGATAAAATGTGTGAAGCCCATTTCTGGTGTCCCCCGCCGTGATATTGCTGGAATATCGCTAGAAGCGGCGTAAAACCAAAGTCACTCACTCACTTTTGTATCGGAAACATCCTTGAGTGCAGCCTCTGAAACTCATCATGATGGAGCTATAACATATGTCACTTAAAATGCGATTCGATCTTGTCGGACAAATTGGCTTCTCACAAAATCAACAGTCTTGAGATGAAAGAAAACTTACAGTTTCCTACTCCTGCGCCCGTTTTTTTCTGACTTTGTACATGACCTTATATCGTGATTGCTTTGACGGACGTTGAAAGAGTGGACTACCTGACCAGTTGAATTCTCAAAAGCTGCATACCATACCAGTGTTTATGTGTTAATCTATGCAGACTGGTTTCTTGGCAATGTTGGTGTTATAGATCTGTAATACCCTCTGCTACTTTCAATTAGGTCATCTATGCCTCTGTTAACAAACAGCGCTGTTAACTTGTGTAGATTTATCTATTAAAGGTACAGCAGTTAGGTACTTCCCTAAGATCCTTTTTGTTATAACCTGTGTGTCATTGCCTGGTGTTTATAAAACAAACACTCTGGGACCTTTGAGACATCGATCTGATTATCGATTAAAAAAATTCACCCAGGTTTCTTTATTCACATCCTATGTTGGATATGATATGGACTCGAACAATTTCCATTTATTGTTGGAATTAATATCAAGACAAAATTGAAAAGCAATCAAGTAATTAACAATATATTGCGTGTCATCATTGGAGAGCGGGCCTTGACTACCATGACAAATGTTTACAAAGGGAGGGAACTCTTGTCTTAGTATTTCCACGTTTCTGATTTGTCAATCCATACGATCCGTCACACAAGATAGGGACAATTCGTGTTCAACTGGTTGAGAGCATGTCAACGTTGATACGACTAGGGTGTTCATACATCAACTGAGGTCGATTCTACAAGTAGTTACTACAAGACGACGTGAGAATATACCTTTTAGCGCCCTAGGATTCCATAATAAAACATTTCAATTGGAGGTTTCGCCCTTATATGATTCCGGTTTGTTATCCAAATTCATGTTCATTATGCCTTTAAACAAATCAGTAAATGTCAACTAGTTTGTCCATGATATGTCTGCGTTACTGTGGGAATAATTTCACATACAGCTTACACACGATTGTCCATGCCAACTCGAAAGGATCAAACGTTTATGCCACGGCACAGAGGATGGGTTTGTGATCAAAACTATTAAACCACATAAGTCTGTTATAACACACACACACACACACACACACACCAACAAATCCTGGTATCACAGCTGAGAGATTTCAAACAATTCTCATGTGGAGGTGTGTCACTTCATCATACTCTGACCACATCTTGCTCTATAAGATGTTTATTTTCCTTTCAGATCTAATTGTGGAACAGTTGCAATTTAGAGGTGTTTAATACTGATGCTCACGAGAGTATTAATTTGCTCTTCTTTGTTTGGTATCATCAGCGATTGATGAAGACTGCTTCATCCTGACGACGGATGGTGATGTCGCATTTACTCCAGAATCGGTGGAAGCGCTTCTTGATCTCATGACACGTGACCCCACAGTTGGTGCAGTATGCGCACGCACCCACCCAATCGGAAGTGGACCTCTTGTATGGTATCAAGTGTTCGAGTATGCAATAGGACACTGGTTTCAGAAGGTGGGTGTTTTGTAATCCTCACTGACATGCAGTTACATCAGACATTTCTTATATCCCACGAGTTAGCCAGTGGTTAGAGCGTTTACATCAAAGATCTGAGTTCTATTCCCGAGAATGCGTACAATGTGTGGAGGTAGTTTCTGGAGAATATTGCTAAAGCGAAGTACAACTAACCTCACTCAGTCTAATATGATGGGCATACAAACACACATGACATTCTTGTACCCTCACTCAGTCTTATATGATGGACATACAAACACATGTGACATTCTTGTACCCCCAGTCAGTCTTATATGATGGACATACAAACACATGTGACATTCTTGTACCCTCACTCAGTCTTATATGATGGGCATGCAAACACACATGACATTCTTGTACCCTCACTCAGTCTTATAAGATGGGCATACAAACACACATGACATTCTTGTACCCTCACTCAGTCTTATATGATGGACATACAAACACACATGACATTCTTGTACCCTCACTCAGTCTTATATGATGGACATACAAACACACATGACATTCTTGTACCCTCACTCAGTCTCATATGATGGACATACAAACACACATGACATTCTTGTACCCTCACTCAGTCTTATATGATGGACATACAAACACACATGACATTCTTGTACCCTCACTCAGTCTTATATGATGGACATACAAACACACATGACATTCTTGTAACCTCACTCAGTCTTATATGATGGGCATGCAAACACACATGACATTCTTGTACCCTCACTAAGTCTTATAAGATGGGCATACAAACACACATGACATTCTTGTACCCTCCCTCAGTCTTATATGATGGACATACAAACACAGATGACATTCTTGTACCCCCACTCAGTCTTATATAATGGACATACAAACACACATGACATTCTTGTACCCTCACTCACTCTTATATGATGGGCATACAAACACACATGACATTCTTGTACCCTCACTCAGTCTTATATGATGGACATACAAACACACATGACATTCTTGTACCCCACTCAGTCTTATATGATGGTCATACAAACACACATGACATTCTTGTACCCTCACTCAGTCTTATATGATGGGCATACAAACACACATGACATTCTTGTACCCTCACTCACTCTTATATGATGGGCATACAAACACACATGACATTCTTGTACCCTCACTCAGTCTTATATGATGGGCATACAAATACACATGACATTCTTTTACCCTCACTCAGTCTAATATGATGGACATACAAACACACATGACATTCTTGTACCCCCACTCAGTCTTATATGATGGGCATACAAACACACATGACATTCTTGTACCCTCACTCAGTCTCATATGATGGACATACAAACACACATGACATTCTTGTACCCTCACGCAGTCTCACATGATGGACATACAAACACACATGACATTCTTGTACCCTCACTCAGTCTTATATGATGGACATACAAACACACATGACATTCTTGTACCCTCACTCAGTCTCATATGATGGACATACAAACACACATGACATTCTTGTACCCTCACTCAGTCTTATATGATGGACATACAAACACACATGACATTCTTGTACCCCACTCAGTCTTATATGATGGACATACAAACACACATGACATTCTTGTACCCTTACTCAGTCTTATATGATGGACATACAAACACACATGACATTCTTGTACCCTCAGCTGTGAACATTCCAGTGAAACATCCAAGCTTGACCAGCACGATCGGTTGTCAGTTTCTTTGACGTCATAGTGTGTTATAGAATCCTGATGCATGGTTTGTTAATGGCGTATTTAACTTCAGTAAATGTTGGTTGTCATACGACTAGTCAAGCGTAGGTTGTGAGTGATATACATACATTATATCTATACATTTATTTATAAATAATGAAACTAAACATAATGGTTCAAACTTGGGCCCAATCTATTTTGGAAGACCATGATCTCTTTCTCGGTTAAAAACCAAGACATACTGTTTTGTTGGATATCATTGCTGAGAAAAGCGTCTGTTCTTTCAAAATAAACCATGATGTATTGCAATTGTTACAAAATATGCAGAGATGCAAGTGATGTTGTCACTAGGCTACACACTAGATAAACTCTTTACACTTTATTTCTAGGCAGCAGAACATGTTCTGGGTTCGGTGCTCTGGGCTCCGGGGAGTTTCAGCGTGTACCGGTGTGTCGCCCTCAAGGAGATCCTCACAGTATACTCCTCCAATGTGGAACATGCGTTTGATTTCCTCACAAAAGACATGGGAGAGGATCGCTGGCTGTGTACACTCATGGTGAGCATGTGTTGAGATATATTAAGGAGTGAGTGAATGATTGTCGGTAAGGAATTATAATTTTGACACACGGTTTCTTCTGAAGAAACGTGGAAGCAGAAGATTTGCATAAAGCCATATCACACTTTTCTTAGAAAGTCCTACATGTCTTTTGACGTTATTGGCCAATCACTTCTGGCCCAAGAGACCTGAGGTCATGTGATATAAGTATGAACACGTGTATTCGAGTTTTCAGGGATCTAAGGGTCACAGATCTTCACAGGCGTTCACGTTTCTGTTTAATGGTGTTTTATCTATTGTGATGGCTGGGGGTGTGGCACCTGACAATATACATGGCCATGAGAAACTGAATGTTTTGCTGTCAAAGGGTTCAGTCATGTTGAATTAAGCTTAAAAGTTCTATTTTATGGTGGAGAGGGAATTCGGGATACCAGTACTGGAACCGCCACAGATAATTTCACTGCATGCATTAGTCATTTGGTGTTATCCGTTCCCACACAAATCGTAACATTTCAGATTCAGACCGGCTGGGGAATTGAGTACTGCGCAGCCTCAAAGAACTCCACGCACTGCCCTAGTGACTTTGAGGAGTTCTACAAACAGCGTCGACGTTGGATCGCCTCAACCATTGCCAACTTAATGCTACTGATCAAACAGTGGAAGATCATTCGGCTGTTCAACTACCGAGTGTCACCGCTGTTTATTGCCTATCAGATTGCTCTTCTCGTGTCAACTCTGATTGGTCCAAGCATGGTCATCTTAATTGTTTCAGGTAAAATGATAATTATCATTGAATTTTCTGTTCCCCTTGACAGCAGTGTGATTGGCAAGATTCAGGAAAAGCATGCTAAATATACAGACCTCGCCTTTGAAATGTCTCGCTTGCACCCCAAGTACACTGTCTTTAGCCTTAACATTGTTCCCGGTGCCCTTGGTATGGTACCATCTGATCTCTTGGCGCAGATCAGGAGAGTGCCCAGGCTCTCCACCGGGAGGACAGCCGTTCTGACATTCTCTGGAAACTTCCCTGTGTGTTGGACTAGACAGAGTTTAAGCCCCATTCGCTGTCTTCGCTGCGTGTAGAGGGGGCAAGGGCCTTGAGCTGATGAAGAGTCTTACCAGACTGATAATGCCAGGATCACCCGAACGCTCTCTGCTGCATTTGAGTCTTAATCTGGAAAACATAATAATACTGCACTTACTTTTCAGGAATTGTTGCATCAATAGAGTTACTGACAGCGCTACCTGTTCTGCAGAATTCATACACATATGTGGGCATGATTCGCAATGTAGCTTATGCCTCGTGTGAACCAATTCAAGGTGTCAGTGACAGTGTTACTGAGTTACTTTAGGGTACTTGTTTTGACAAGGTATTATCGCATCAATTTTATTGTCGAGGTGACTTCTATATTATATTCTACAAATTAATACCTTGTTTCCTATAAATTTGCTATAATGTTAAATGTTGATAATGAATATGTTGTTTTACTCTGAAGGTGACTATGCTCTAATATCATAAATGTCATTGTGTTCTGGGTAACATGTGATTCTTCTATTTTGTCATAAAGGCGGTTTGTCATTCGCCTGGGACGTGGCTCCTGTAATCTCAGGGCTGCTTCAGCTCAGAATCGCTGCCAGCTTCACCTTCATCTGTCTCTTCACGTCGGAGAAGACGCAGCTTCTGGTAAACACACATCATAACTACATCCTTCTGATCACACTGACAGAGAGGGTATTTGTATGGGAATCATCTGCACGAAATTTGAATTGTGCATGTTGTTCCGCGTTGGAGACGTGAGGCCGATATAACGTAATGTCATTCTTGAGTATTATCAGAGAGTGTTTGTATATGGCAAACATCTGCACGAAATTTGAATTGTGTATGCTTTATCGTGTGGGAGATGTGAGGGCGATAACCATGTGATGTCATTCTTGGCTATTATCAGAGAACGTTTGTATGTCGCAAACATCTGCACGTAATTTGAATTGTGTATGCTTTATCGTATGGGAGCTGTGAGGGCGATAACCATGTAATGTAATTCTTGGCTATTATCAGAGAGCGTTTGTATGTCGCAAACATCTGCACGTAATTTGAATTGTGCATGTTATACTGTGAGAGAAACGTGAAAACTAAAATCATGTAATGCCATTCTTGAGTGTTATCAGAAGCGTTTATGTGTCGCAAACATCTGCTGGAAAATATGAATTGTGAAGGTTGTACCATATAGACGACATGAGGACGAGAATTTCCTAATCATTTAATGTCATTCTTGACGTAACCCGTGTCTGTGACGTACTAATACACCGTGAAGTCGCTTAAGAAGCTTTGGATGAACCCTGCAGGCGAATGAGCATTACCGTGTGTCGTAGAGTGCAAAATGATATGCATCTATCGATCTCTGAAGTGAAATCTGCATGAGGAAACTCTTATCTAATTTTGTTGCTACACATATTGGATCTTTCGCAAAGGTCCTACCAAGATATCTCATTTCCTTATGTATCGTCCTGAGGCGCTTATGTTTTAGTATTGGTTCATCTATCAATGATATTATAACTACATATATATATGACAAAGTCTGGCAATGAGTAATGGCACCACCGATTTTACCGTAAAGCGTGGATGATGGTGTCTGAGATGGCTTGATCGAGTCACGAATATAGTTCGCATTTATGAAACACCAATGAGATAACTGTTTTGTCGAATGCATTTGAGTATATTCCAAACCATTCCCGAAACGTTGCATCTACATTTTGCAGACTGCGAAGCTGCTGACGTTCCTCTATGCTATTGTGATGGCGATGGTGATTATAGGGGCGGCCATAAACATAGCAGATGAGCTGAACAAAGGTAAGTCGGGTATAATTCTAATTTTCACGAGGACGGTGTCCCGGGTAAGCGGATGTCAGGCCTTAAGTCAGTGGTCATGATGCTTTTGGCGCAGTATCATAGCCATTAGAGTTGAACCTTTTTGTCAGGAAAATAATCTTGAAAATACTTTTAAAGTGATCCATTCAGAGCTATTTTCCCCTCTTGCACCAAAGGGATATTCTTGGGATAGTAAAGGCTGGATATTCGTTTGGTCTGGTATCTATCTATCTATCTATCTATCTATCTATCTATCTATATATATATATATATTAGTCAATAACAAATTCATTGAACAGGGTTACCTGCATTACTTGTTCAGTATAAAGTGTCTTTTTAGGTTTGATGTGAAAGAAAAAACACAAGAAGAAAGAGTTTACATTTAAGTGTTCTGTGATACTGTAGACGCTGCATTTACCGACACAGAATATATAAGTAAACACTGCGTTTACTGATATAGATTACATAAGTAAACACTGCAATTACTGTCACAGAATACATAAGTAAACGCTCGTTTACTTTCTTTGAGAGGCGTTTACTGACACAGAATATATAAGTAAACGCTGTGTTTACTAATATAGATTACATAAGTAAACACTGCGCTTACTGTCACAGAATACATAAGACTATCATGTCAATGTAAAACGTGTCGCCGTTAGCTCCCATGGTCCCTGGTTTGCTGGCCTAACCTTGGCTACTTGTGATCTACACTTTAAGATTGTAATATTATAAAAAGTCACATAATATTATTTGTATACTGAATTCATGATATCATTCATTTTATTACTTAGATTCGATCTACCAGCAGTTTATTTCCCCAGTTTGGTCTGTTTCCTTTCTACTTTCACTCCCGTTTAAAGTGTGACTCAATGATCACTTGAGTTCCTGAGGATGCAATGGTGTTGGGATTACTCTCTGTGTACACTACTGTCCTGCGATATGTATTTCCCTTGTTAATCATACCGTTTTGGTTGACACTCTGATGCGATTTAGTGACATTCAGTCGATAGATAAACACCTCTCTAGAATAGTACTTTGTCTTTGTCAGGAACCTGCCATTTCATATCCTGAACTATTTTAAGTACCAACGATGAATAAATTATAAATATTTCCTTTTACGAAGTGAATCTTTTATTTCTTTTGTTTTGTGGATGGGCTAGCATGTTATCATATGAAATGAAAAGAGGAGTATGTATACCTAAAATAACACCATCAGAGATACATGGGTGTTGTTGCTGTTTTAGCGGCGCATTGCTGCACAATTCCTGATGCGGCTTAAAAACATGTACTTATTTCTTAACGTTACGTTTATGAAATGTTATTAATGCTATTCTTCAGATGATGGACCTGGATTTCAAGTATTAACGGAGAACCTTCAACTTTTTGGCAATGGATCGGGTACCCAAAAGCCTCCAGGGGAAGCTTTTCTTTCCGCCGACTCTGGGAGCAGTACGAAATTATCACCAACCACAATCTACCTGTGGTCAATCTTTTCCGTGTTTGTCCTCGCTGCCGTGCTTCACCCTAGAGAGTTTCTGTGCCTCATATATGGCATATGTTACCTTCTGTGTCTACCATCCGGGTACCTGCTGTTGATGATCTACAGCGTGTGCAACATTCCAGACAAGAGTTGGGGTATACTTCACGCTGAATGAGTTTGATTTTAAGCAGTGTTTCAATTATATCACGGCATGAAAGTTGGCTGTGCGAGATAGGATGAACAGTGTTGGTGAAACTAGCCAGCACAAGATTGGTGCTGAGCACACAGAAACACGAATCAGGGATGAAAACTGAATATTGTCACAGTCTTGAGGTACCCACCCAATGTTGTGCCCTATGCAACCAAGCCTGACCACTATATACCTTGATATATGTAGGGTTAGTGGTCCTGTAAGTGCCACGGTAACGGTTGTCAAGATTCCCATTCTGCATCAGATTGGTGCTTCTTGCATCAATATTGTGATACTGTCGTGCCAAAACCGAACACTATCGAGTATAAACAATTCCTTTTAAAAAGTCATCAGTTCTTGTGAGCACAACTTCTTGGTGAAGTAGAGATTCTAGTACCTTAAGAGATCCTGACCCACATTCCCACAGTGAGGCAGTGGTTTAACAAGAGCTGTGACCTACTTACACTGAGACCTGTGAGGATCCGGGCTAAACTGGTCTTCAGTTATCAATGCTGGCAACTAGTGGGATCGGGTGGTCAGGCTCGCTGACTTGGTGGACACATGTGAACGGTTCCCAATTGCGTGGATCGAGGCTCATGCTGTTGATCACTGGATTTCTGGTCCAGACACTATTATTATTTACAGCTGGAATATTGCTGAGTGCGGCGTCAAGCTGAACACAGTCACACACCCACTTACTTACACTGCATCTAATACACCTGACTAAAATATATTCGGGTTTAAATGTTTAATAATATACAGTGCCCCACATTGTTTAGAGGAGGGTGTCATGATTGCCATTGGTTTTGATTTCCGAGTTTTAGATTTACAACACACTGGCCTCAACCAAGACTATATTCAAGGTTTAAGGTTGTTATGTCTGCACTTCCATTCGCTAAACATATTCATCACTGTTACATCTAATGCTGTGCACTGATTCTTGGTGTCTGCAGGAACCCGAGAGAAGAAAAACTATGGAGACGTTATGGGGGAACCGGGATACAAGCGGCTTCAGAAGATAATGGAGATCCTATGTTTGTAAGTGGGTTTGTGAGTGAGTGAGTGAGTGTGATATTACGCCGCTTGTAGCAATATTCCCTCAATAACACGGCGGGGGACACCAGAAATAGACTTCACAAATTATACCCTGTGAGAAGTCGAACGCGGATCTTCGGCTTGACGACGGAGGCTTTAACAAATAGGCCACCCCTCCGTGCCTCTGTGCTTCTTAGACAATGTCTTTGTAGCGTTGATATTTCTCATGCAGTGACTTCGCAGAATATATGCAGTTTCTGGACCTAATATTTGACTTTCACTTTCAAAATCAATGCTTTAAAACTCACGGAATTCATATTTCCCGTCGATTTGTTGGAATATGAAAGAAGCGAGCCGATCAGCAATGAATACAAAGTTATGTCATATAAAAATCCAGATAGCGATACTTGATGTTTCTGTATGTCAGCAGTAGCCTCGGTATTTCTCAGCGAACTGGATATAACTGAGTCACGTCCGCCATGTTGAGGATTCAGTCCAGCAAACCTGTAAGCCACCACTGTAAGTCTGGAACTGTTTATCAAGATTCCACGACCAGTTGGTTTTGATAAGTTTAAAAACATTCGTCTTGTTTGTGTTCATGTGATTCAGTTGCTGTATCAAACGGGGAATCTCCACTGACAAGACCCTCAAAATTGAAGTGCCTCCGTTTGAGAAATGGGCATCTAACGAGGTTCTAAGTAAGTTCACGCACTTCGCCTTCACTACTAAATACATCAACAGCTCAATATAATGCATTACTACCTCAGCTTACTGGCATGTCATTCCTTGGCCATGTGGAACTTTGTCAAGGAGGTATGGCTTCATCTCTATCTCTAAAAGTTCAAGGCAAAACTGAGTCATCTGAAGCACTACCAGAAAACAATACACTGTATATGGATATCGCGGCCTCCTCATCACATCTATATTTAATAGAAACTTCTTGCTTGTCCTTTTCTTAGATGTGTATTATCACATAGAAGAAGGGAATCTCGCTAACTAGGTTCCAGTTATACCGATCGATATAATCATTGCAATTCAACATTCCAGTGTTTGGCCTACCGTAACTATAGTGAGTTAGTGAATTTAGCTTTACGTCGCACTCAGCATTATTCCAGCTATATTGCTGCAGTCTGTAAACAATCGTGTCTGGACCAGACAATCCAGTGATCAACAGCATGAGCATCGATCTCCGCAACTGGGATACGATGACATGTATCAACCAAGACGAGCCTGTCCACCCGATCCCGTTAGTCGCCTCATACAAGCACGGGTTACTGAAGACATTCAAATTGTCAGCATCTACTATATGTGGAGTAACCCTGTTCCATTGTTTGGTTCATCCTATGACTTGTGACGGGCAATTGATGTTGCATTTGTAAATATTCCCAAAAGCAGGCTGCGACTTTCTCAGAAGATATTTCATTATGCTAGCATCATGCAAACTTCAAGTAAAATGTTCACAAGTTATGCTAGACTGGTGTGGACATTCCACAATTAACGCTCCGATGACAAAACATCTATGACTCAGTTCCTCTTGACCTACGCCTTACCTTACTGCCTTTATTAGACTTATTGTTTCTGTCAGCTTCGATTACACAATGCCATTTAGAAAGTGGTTAAATGTAACATATCTTATATTTGGGATCACATTGTTTTTAGGAAAGTACAGATTCTTGTACTTTTATTGGGTTGAGACCCATCCGGGATTCGAACCCACACGCTCAGAGTCAGACACCTAATCGGCAGCACACAAAGCAACAACGAAAGTTCAGAGGGGAACACAAAGCCCGCAGTCTAGACTATCAGGCTGTGGAAGCCCTGGTTGCTGAGCGGGTTAGGCGACTGACTTTATGCGCTGGCGATTAGGTGCCTGATTCTGAGGGTGTGGGTTCGAATCCCGGATGTGACTCAACCCAACAAAAGTACAAAAGTCTGTACTTTACTAAGAAAGTGTAATCCCAATATAACATATGTGACATCTTTCAGCTTTTACAAACATTAACGAAGCCATAGAGCTGGAATAGCTGCTTGGTGCGACGTTAAACAAAAACAAGAAATAACATTTAATGTAAAATCTGTTAAGCTAGACTCGATGTTTCATACAGAGCCTGGCGCGAGCAGTGAACCGCGGTCGGCGGATGTCCATGACGATGACGACCAAGATGAGTACCTGTCCATCCCAGTTGAGGAGTGGCTTCCCACGGAACTAAAGGTAAGGAATAACACACACGTGTGTCTCCATAGTGATCTACAGAGTAAGACCAGATACACGTGTGTCTCCACTGAGAGTCAGCAGAGCCGGAGCGGACCGACTGGTGTATCTCAAGAAAGAGTAACAGAGTAAGGACAGACACGGGCATCTCTCTCAAACCAGAGACAACAGAGTAAGGACAGACACAGGCATCTCTCTCCATGGTGGCTGAACAGAAACAGACCCACACTTGTCTCCGTAGAGGTAAACAAATTCCAAGGAGGGTCAATGCTATAAGAACAGAAACGCGCGTGTCTCCATAGCGATGTAAGAAAAGAAAGCTTATACATAGTGAGATCAGACACAGACGAGTAAAAAAAAAGCCTTATAAACTTGAACGTGGACAGTGTAATAGATACAATAACATTTATCTTTACGAACGACGCACATAGATCGGGCAAAATGTGTTTCCATAGAACGTGAACAGAGTGCGTACAAATAGTGTAACATATTCTCTGTAGAAAGTGAACAGATGAAAAAATTCGTCACAAAGAAGGTATATATTACTTTGAGAAATAACTTACATATTAAAGTGAAAAGAGTATAGCATACGTCACACAGAAGGTGTATATCACTTGAGAAATAACTTACATATTAAAGTGAAGAGAGTATAACATACCTCACGCAGAAGGTGTATATCATTTTGAGGAATAACGTACACATTAAAGTGAAAGTGGATTTTTTAAAAAAAATCATAAATATTTGATTTTAGTGATTACAAATAACGAATTGAATTGATCATGGGATACGGTTCGACTCGCCGCAAATGCGAGTAAACCTAAACCCTGTTCAGCGGCACATATGTGTTAACAAAAATACTAGAATCTGTACTTTACTCAGAAAGTGTAATCCCAAATGTAACATATGTTGCCCAAACAGCTGCTTAGTGTGATTCCATGCTTTTTTAAGGAGTACAGCACTTTGTTCAGACAGTATGGGTATGACAGCACTCTCTTCATATCTGGTATGACTGAGAAAGAGCTGTATAACATCGGCATCAAGGACACGGGGGCGCGCCAGGATCTGCTGCAGATGATCGAGATACTGCCTGCATTTGAGATAGAGTACGGAGTACCGGTAAGTAGGCTGAGAGAGTACGGGTAGGGGTTGGTGTTCATAGTGTTTAACTATTGACGGGCTAGAGCATTACTGAGTGCGAAGTTACACAACAAAAACACAATCAAGCAGAACTGTAAATTGGGTTTAACACTGCTCTGAGAAGTATACCAGTTGTTTGTTGCCACTATAATGTCAAAGGGAATCGATCACGCCGACTGATCTTTGAAGTATACTTCATTTCTGAAACTCACAGCACAGGTGATAACAAATATGCAGCCAAAAAATATCATAACTGCAATAAACAATAATAGGTTTCTGCAACGTCAAAGGGCAATAACTCTGATTTGCATATGCATCATATAGAGATATATTTTACTAATTTTGTGAAATAACTTGACAAACCAGTGCTGGATGTTGCGAACAACGGTCAGAGAAATCCAGTACGATTTCCACTGAACACCTGGTCCATCTTGTAAAACAGGAACGATTTGTAAGGGTAGACAACTTCTCTATCGCTATGTATGCGGCGTCTCGGTGTAGATGCTGACACTGTTATCAAGCATCACTTGCTTCCACACCTAAACGTCGCATCCACTGCAGTAAAGGTGTTGTCTGTCCATACAAGATCGCCCCTGTTCATCATACCAGCTTCAAAATGCCACTCAAAGGAGAAGATATCCTGTAAAATGTTTCAAATAATAGTTCAACCATGACTACGTAAAATACTTGAATACGATTGGACAGTCAATAAATACAATCAATTAGACACTATCAATTTGGATTGAAAATGCGTCTGATTTTATCACCGCTTCAATGCTCACGTATACATTACCCCCTCAATACGTCCGATACGTGTTTCAAATGGAATTTAGGGAGTATCGATTCGGTCAAACATTTATCTTATGTTCAATTCTAATTCAACTGAGTATGTAACATGAGTTCTGATTGGTCACTGCTATAAAGTTCCGACCATATAATCAGCATACACGGTCGCAATTTGAAAACCGATTCACCAAAACCTTTGTATGTATCCCTAAACTATTGGGTAACGCATTGTCTTTTGCAGAAGCCCTGGCTAAATTGACTCCCCTATCCAGCTAAAATGGGTGGAATTTGTGTTAAAAAAATGACAAAGCAGTATCATAAATATAATTTTAAGTTCAAACAACTTACTCGCATGAGGCTGTGGACCAACTCTGTTAGATCATGGAACACAATTTATGACGTCATTATGCTGTGACGTCATTTGACAACCCAACTGAAAATGGCCCGTAGTTGAGGAATCAGGGGGCCGCTCATTTCTGATAACTAGAGGGCGGTTTCATCATAATTCCGTCCATTTTATGCATAACACTATGATTTATTCATCACTGACAGATTTAGTCAGTGTGCACATAATAAACGTGATAAAGGTTGAAAAGGGAACTACTTTTTCTCTGGCGATGGTGTAAGTTCAAGGAGTGATATGCTTAACCTTTGACCTAGGGGAACTTTGACCTGGTTTAAATAGATATAACTAAATTTGCATCTATATAACCACCGGTATACGTCCCCAATTCGTCAAACACAGTACAGTTATACCCTAAACATAGTACATTTGTCACCTAATTATACGAAACGAATATAACTTTTAGGTTTTCTATGACACAGTTGTGCTATACGGCAATTGTGTTTCAGAATAGTGTTATACAATGGCTGGAGACTATAGGTCTGGCTGAGTATGAGCAGAACTTCAAGAGGAACCGCATCAAGAAGGCCAAGGATCTCAGCATACTGAAGTCATACGGGAGAAAGGAGGTAGAGAAGGAACTGGGGATTACTATGGCCGGTGAGAGAGTAACATATAAGTAGTAGCTCTAGTTGCTCCAAAAGACAAGATGGAAACATCTTTTACCGAACACATCAAACCTCTCTGTCTCTGTCTCTGTCTCTGTCTCTCTCTGTATATCTCTGTCTCTCTCTGTCTGTCTGTCTGTCTGTCTCTCTCTCTCTCTCTCTCTCTCTCTCTCTCTCTCTCTCTCTCTCTCTCTCTCTCTCTCTCTCTCTCTCTCTCTCTCTCTCTCTCTCTCTCTCTCCTTAGAATGTCACGAGGGACTGTGTGACAATAGTTAGCATGTGCGTCGAGTGAGACCAGTCAGGCAATCACGTCATCTATCACCACAAACATAGATGATTGAGGACAAAGTCTTACCCATAACACCAATAACAATGCCTTAGGTATTAAAAATCCTAACGCTCTATTTCTATCTCTGCAGGTCACATCAAACGGTTGCTGTATGCTACACAGAAGCTGAGGGAACCAACTAACGGTAAACCATGTCTTCGACACATGTCATCGTGTCCCAATTGCGCAGACAGATGCTCATGCTGTTGACCATTGGATTGTCTGGTCCTGCCTATTATTTATAGACCGCCGCCATATAGCTGGAATATATTGGGAGGAGGCGTAAAACTCACTCACTCCAAATGGTCGAAAACAAATGCCCTCACGCTCTGTTTATGATAACTTTGTCTCCAATGTGTGAAACCCATCTTGGTGTCCTTTGGAGTGTTATTGCTGGAATGTTGCTAAAAGAGGCGTAAAACCATAGTCACCCATTTACTCATTCAAATTGTCTTCAGACGTTTCAGTGCGGTACTCAGAGATCGAAAAATATTCTGATATGCACATTATAAGTTGTTCACTGGTCAGGAGGGGGGGCATGGGTTGATGTGCCCTCGGTGTTTGTTTATGTTCCCCGAGACCGAAGTATTTATCTTACCGAACACCTTAATGTTAATTTTGAACTATTTGAAGCACGGGTACAAATCTTTTTGGTAGCCATTGCTAGATTTTGATGACAAGAAACACAGATTTAGAGTTATAAAATATCTCACATGTCTTGTGAGGTCAGAATTGTCAAAACGATGTTCTTGACATCAGAGTTTGTGCGCTGATCTCTGCACAAGCAAAGACCGTGTCTGGCGATAATGATCAGTAAACTGCAAACATGTGCGGACATACATATAATTCAGGTATAGTGGTAATTGAATACCACAATGTTGAAGAATGCTTCGGGAACATATTCTATATGATCGTGAAAACAACGGAATGGCGAATCAAATCAGCGATGTTAGACCATCATCCCTTCCATCAGCCCTTGTCACTCTCACAATGATCACGAAGGCGTACGCGTACAGTGGTAAAGAATTATCAAAATGAATGGCTTGTATCTAATTAAAGGCACAATGTCACACATGTTCGAAAATAATTTGGCCTATGTTTTATATATTCGGGGCATATGCACTCACTTTAGCTTCCTGTTAATGCAATAACATACTTATTATCCCTTACGACTTGCCTGAAATCGATAACTGAAACTTCGTGGCGAACAGCTTTCACACAGATATAACTTGCCATATATGGAATGTAAACGATTGCTCCGCACATCGCAAACTGTCACACGCGGTGTTGTCGGTGTTTGCCGAACTGGCCTCAATCACAAGTTGCGTAATACAATATTCGTAATGATCGCTCCAAGGGACATAACTCTATAGGGTTTGCTTGAAATAATGATCGACCGGTAGAAGGCGCGAGAGTCGATTCAATGCATCGTTCCATTAAATCATTCGAACTTTTACTTTATTGTATTGTAATTACAATTATTAATTCGGAATAAATTAAATGGTAGTTTCCCCTGAGGGCTGATAGTTGGTATTATTTAGATAAGTGCATGATGTTTTTTTCGAGAAATGTGTTGTAAAATTGTTCCTTTAAGCAGATCTGATCTCACACGCCCTCTGAACATCATCAAAAAGTGACTGACTAGTTTGGCACTTGTCCCATTGCAGCTGAGGAGAAGGCTGCCGAGATGAAAGCCCTTGTTGACAGTTCACAAAAAACAACTCCTCAGACATGTCAACATAGCCGAGTGTGATTTCTGGAGACAGCTGATCGACGAGTGCCTGAAACCAACTAGCAAAACATTCGGTATTGAGGCCGAGTTAAAAGGTGAGATATTGGTACTACATATGCTGGCGGAAGGCCGTAACCGAGACAAAATCAAGATATGATTGACTTTACAGGTTCAGTACTGTTTTTCTTTGACCCGTGGACATCATGGCTGGAACTGGTCGTCAGCAACCAATGCTTGTCGTAAGAGGCGATTAACGGGTGGTCAGAATCACTGAAGTAGTTGATGCAGGTCATCGAATCCCAGTTCCGTAGATCAATGCTCATGCTGTTGATCACTGGATTGTCTGATCCAGACTGGACCATTTACTGTCTGCCGCCTTATAGCTGGAGATTTGCTGAGTGGGGCGTAAAGTAACAAACAAATCAAACCTATCTTATATAATAATTATGATTATGTTATTTGTAACGAAGGTCATTCACCTGTTTTGCAATTAACATGGTTTGTCATTCGCCTGGGGCGTGGCTCCTGAACTCTCCGTGCTGCTACAGGTCAGCATCGCTATCGTGCTTCAGCATCATTTGCCTCTTCAGGTTCATACATATCATTGTAGAGCAATTGCGTAGATCGATACCTATAATGTCAATCACGTGATTGTCTGGTTCAGACAGAGATTATTTACAGACCGTTTTCATGTAGCTGTTGTATTGCTTAATGCACGCAAGTCAAACGGCCAGGCTCGGTAATTTCATATTGTTTGTCATCGTCATCTTACAAATATATATCACTGGTTTGACTAGATCCAGAGTCTGGGTGATGTTAGTGCAAGAGTACATAGAGGATTCCCCCATGGTTATAATACATGTTGTCGGGTTTCAGGAGTTTGAAACATATTGCGACACTTTGTTAACCCATGAGAGAGGCGCGACCATCCAAACTGAAGTATACAACTTCGGTTAGCTGCCGTGGTGGAGCGGGTTAGGCTTCTGACTTGTGTGCTGACGATTAGGTTCCTGACTCTTATGGTGTGGGTTCGAATCCCGGATGGGACTCAGTCTAACAAAAGGGTTAGAATATGTTATTTACTAAGAATGTGTTGCCCCTAATATAACTTCAGTTAGTGTTCCTCTAGATCGTTGAGCGCATATTTTTTTTCCAAACCGGTTAAAATTGCATACAACCACAGCACATCCTGGGAATCCTGCAACAAACTGAAGTGCCGTAATGCTTTGATGACCAGCGAAGTTGCTGGTGGTCTATAGCCCAGTTGTATTTCATACTAAATAACACAATGGTAAAGTTTTTGTTTTAAACATATTTTGATTTGGTTTGTTTAATACCTACACTTTGACAGAGAAGAGCCGATTTACTATTCTTGATCGACAGACATTTAATGATAGGTGAGGTGAGGTGAAATTGGGTTTAACGTCGTGCTTGAGAATATTTCGCTCATATGACGACGTGCATACGTGTGTATGTGTATGTGCGGCTGCTTGTACTAGCCCTGACTGAAGCTGGTTTTATAGTACTAGCCCACTGAGATACCATGCCGCATTGAAGCATGAATACCCCACTCAGACACATTATACTGACTCCGAGCCGACCAGTCCTTGTTGTACCCATTAATGCCGAGCGCCAGGCAGGGACCAACACGTACCATATTTAACGTATTTTGGTGTAATTGACATGTTGAATAGCTACTTAGCCATTTAAGAGTTAAAACTTAACGTCACATCAGGAATATTTCAGCCATATAATGACGAGATACGTTTTGCATATATACTACATTTAAGTTGTTAAAATTAGGGTGATCAAAGGACTGTAAAATAGCTAGAGTGTCACACATGGTATTTATAACTAGCATGAAAATCTAAAACTCTTTTACTATTGAAGACAATACAACAACTAGATTATCACAGGAATACATTTAAAACTAGTAATTAAATCTAAAATATTTTAACTATTGATGACATTACAATATATAAACAGGCTATTTGTCGCTAACAGATGAAGGTAGATCACAACACTAGGTACCAAGGGGACTTACCGACAGTTTAATGAATGTCAGCTTCTTTTGGAGTATATCCTTACTCCTCGTCATGATTCACCTGATATAGAGTAAGGAGTAAGTATAGGCTACGAAACATTGTGTTCCTCACAGTAAAGAAGTTGACATCCATAAACCCATCTTCTTATCTGAATCACTTCTAGATTCAATTCAAGAACCTCATAGTATGTAAGCTAAAAGTGTCATATATTTGTGATCATTTATACATTCTGTCAGATATACACTTTGTTCTAATTTGATTTCTGCAGGCAGACTAGAGAGCTGAGGAACTCGTGGCTCATGGTTCTGGCTGTCAGCAACTCATTAGGCTCATTCTCATCATCACTTTGGCAGCTAAAACCCAGTTCAAAATCTTTGGTGCGAACTCATTAGGTGCGTATACAAGAGTATGTGATGATGACAGGTCGTGAAGGACACTTAACGGATCCGGTTGTCTCGTTACGCATACTATCAACCTCTGGGTTGTCAGGTTCAGAATCGAATGCTTACTTGATATGGAATGACCAATTCGGTACCCGTCAAGATCCAGGTTAGAATTGGCCTTCAGCAAGCCATACTTGTCGTAAGAGGCGACTAACAGGTTCGGGTGGTCAGGCTTGCTGACTAGCTTGCCACTCGTCATTGTATCCCAATTGCGTAGATCGATGCTCATGATGTTGACCACTGGCTTGCCTGGTCAAGACCCGATTATTTACAGACCGCCGGCATAAAACTGGAATATTACTGAGTGCTACATTAAACAACCAACCAACAAACCAACCAACCTTGACCATGTCGGTGTTTGGCCATACAGAACTACTGACACCAAATATAGATCGTCATATTTTCGCAATTTCGGAAATCTATGCTATGTTGTCATACTTACATCACTGTTTTATTCTTCAGCATAGTAACCTATTTCTGTATTCTGAACTTGGTGGATGACTGGTTATAGTCATAAACGGAGTATTTGGGACGAAACATTATACTTTCCCAGAACGAAAAGATTTCTTTATCTCACATAGGGTAGCCCAGTGGTAAGCTTGAGTCGTCACGTCGAATGTCCGGGTTCGACTCCTACATCAGTGCCATGGCTGTGACATTGCTGGGATATTACTAAAAGCCTTGCAACAACATAGCAACACACCCTTCATTCAAGCAAAATCTCTGATTAGAGGAAGTATCCAAATTACCATAATGTCCCTTGTTTCAGCGAAATTACCGAACGCACTCTCGTGTGAGTGGGTATTTTGGTCATTCTGCCACTCGCGTACACCTAGCCTTTTACACTGTTTTTAATGACTCATTCACATAATTTCACAGTCATTTTTCACTTTCACCAAATAGAATTCATTGAAGACTGTACATTGATTAGCATTGATGTTTCATAGTTAGAAGTCGAACTCCGCATTCTCTGTGTTGTTCAAATAGTGTTGTTTCTATACCTGCCTTGTATTAACTGTATTTCCAGGTCTGAGCTTCCTGCTGATATTCGGCATCCTGCTGGTGATACAATTCCTGGCCATGATCATCCACCGCATCTCAACTCTCGTCCATTTCATGGCCAGGGCACCGTTCAAATATGGAGAACCGATGGCGACCTCCTGGTCCTTCCAAAGCCAGCTCGTGCCTCATGATCCCGAGTTGCAAGACGACGTGGAGACCATACGAGCAGTAACGGATGATGAGTCAAGGCAACAGGGAGTATCGATTCGGTCAAACATTTATCTTATGTTCAATTCTAATTCAACTGAGTATGTAACATGAGTTCTGATTGGTCACTGCTATAAAGTTCCGACCATATAATCAGCATACACGGTCGCAATTTGAAAACCGATTCACCAAAACCTTTGTATGTATCCCTAAACTATTGGGTAACGCATTGTCTTTTGCAGAAGCCCTGGCTAAATTGACTCCCCTATCCAGCTAAAATGGGTGGAATTTGTGTTAAAAAAATGACAAAGCAGTATCATAAATATAATTTTAAGTTCAAACAACTTACTCGCATGAGGCTGTGGACCAACTCTGTTAGATCATGGAACACAATTTATGACGTCATTATGCTGTGACGTCATTTGACAACCCAACTGAAAATGGCCCGTAGTTGAGGAATCAGGGGGCCGCTCATTTCTGATAACTAGAGGGCGGTTTCATCATAATTCCGTCCATTTTATGCATAACACTATGATTTATTCATCACTGACAGATTTAGTCAGTGTGCACATAATAAACGTGATAAAGGTTGAAAAGGGAACTACTTTTTTCTCTGGCGATGGTGTAAGTTCAAGGAGTGATATGCTTAACCTTTGACCTAGGGGAACTTTGACCTGGTTTAAATAGATATAACTAAATTTGCATCTATATAACCACCGGTATACGTCCCCAATTCGTCAAACACAGTACAGTTATACCCTAAACATAGTACATTTGTCACCTAATTATACGAAACGAATATAACTTTTAGGTTTTCTATGACACAGTTGTGCTATACGGCAATTGTGTTTCAGAATAGTGTTATACAATGGCTGGAGACTATAGGTCTGGCTGAGTATGAGCAGAACTTCAAGAGGAACCGCATCAAGAAGGCCAAGGATCTCAGCATACTGAAGTCATACGGGAGAAAGGAGGTAGAGAAGGAACTGGGGATTACTATGGCCGGTGAGAGAGTAACATATAAGTAGTAGCTCTAGTTGCTCCAAAAGACAAGATGGAAACATCTTTTACCGAACACATCAAACCTCTCTGTCTCTGTCTCTGTCTCTGTCTCTCTCTGTATATCTCTGTCTCTCTCTGTCTGTCTGTCTGTCTGTCTCTCTCTCTCTCTCTCTCTCTCTCTCTCTCTCTCTCTCTCTCTCTCTCTCTCTCTCTCTCTCTCTCTCTCTCTCTCTCTCTCTCTCTCTCTCTCTCTCTCTCATAGAATGTCACGAGGGACTGTGTGACAATAGTTAGCATGTGCGTCGAGTGAGACCAGTCAGGCAATCACGTCATCTATCACCACAAACATAGATGATTGAGGACAAAGTCTTACCCATAACACCAATAACAATGCCTTAGGTATTAAAAATCCTAACGCTCTATTTCTATCTCTGCAGGTCACATCAAACGGTTGCTGTATGCTACACAGAAGCTGAGGGAACCAACTAACGGTAAACCATGTCTTCGACACATGTCATCGTGTCCCAATTGCGCAGACAGATGCTCATGCTGTTGACCATTGGATTGTCTGGTCCTGCCTATTATTTATAGACCGCCGCCATATAGCTGGAATATATTGGAGGAGGCGTAAAACTCACTCACTCCAAATGGTCGAAAACAAATGCCCTCACGCTCTGTTTATGATAACTTTGTCTCCAATGTGTGAAACCCATCTTGGTGTCCTTTGGAGTGTTATTGCTGGAATGTTGCTAAAGGAGCGTAAAACCATAGTCACCCATTTACTCATTCAAATTGTCTTCAGACGTTTCAGTGCGGTACTCAGAGATCGAAAAATATTCTGATATGCACATTATAAGTTGTTCACTGGTCAGGAGGGGGGCATGGGTTGATGTGCCCTCGGTGTTTGTTTATGTTCCCCGAGACCGAAGTATTTATCTTACCGAACACCTTAATGTTAATTTTGAACTATTTGAAGCACGGGTACAAATCTTTTTGGTAGCCATTGCTAGATTTTGATGACAAGAAACACAGATTTAGAGTTATAAAATATCTCACATGTCTTGTGAGGTCAGAATTGTCAAAACGATGTTCTTGACATCAGAGTTTGTGCGCTGATCTCTGCACAAGCAAAGACCGTGTCTGGCGATAATGATCAGTAAACTGCAAACATGCGGACATACATATATTCAGGTATAGTGGGTAATTGAATACCACAATGTTGAAGAATGCTTCGGGAACATATTCTATATGATCGTGAAAACAACGGAATGGCGAATCAAATCAGCGATGTTAGACCATCATCCCTTCCATCAGCCCTTGTCACTCTCACAATGATCAATGAAAGGCGTATGCGTACAGTGGTAAAGAAATTATCAAAATGAATGGCTTGTATCTAATTAAAGGGCACAATGTCACACATGTTCGAAAATAATTTGGCCTATGTTTTACATATATTCGGGGCATATGCACTCACTCTTTAGCTTCCTGTTAATGCAATAACATACTTATTATCCTTACGACTTGCCTGAAATCGATAACTGAAACTTCGTGGCGAACAGCTTTCACACAGATATAACTTGCCATATATGGAATGTAAACGATTGCTCCGCACATCGCAAACTGTCACACGCGGTGTTGTCGGTGTTTGCCGAACTGGCCTCAATCACAAGTTGCGTAATACAATATTCGTAATGATCGCTCCAAGGGACATAACTCTATAGGGTTTGCTTTGAAATAATGATCGACCGGTAGAAGGCGCGAGAGTCGATTCAATGCATCGTTCCATTAAATCATTCGAACTTTTACTTTATTGTATTGTAATTACAATTATTAATTCGGAATAAATTAAATGGTAGTTTCCCTGAGGGCTGATAGTTGGTATTATTTAGATAAGTGCATGATGTTTTTTTCGAGAAATGTGTTGTAAAATTGTTCCTTTAAAGATCTGATCTCACACGCCCTCTGAACATCATCAAAGTGACTGACTAGTTTGGCACTTGTCCCATTGCAGCTGAGGAGAAGGCTGCCGAGATGAAAGCCCTTGTTGACAGTTCACAAAACAACTCCTCAGACATGTCAACATAGCCGAGTGTGATTTCTGGAGACAGCTGATCGACGAGTGCCTGAAACCAACTAGCAAAACATTCTGGTATTGAGGCCGAGTTAAAAGGTGAGATATTGGTACTACATATGCTGGCGGAAGGCCGTAACCGAGACAAAATCAAGATATGATTGACTTTTACAGGTTCAGTACTGTTTTTCTTGACCCGTGGACATCATGGCTGGAACTGGTCGTCAGCAACCAATGCTTGTCGTAAGAGGCGATTAACGGGTGGTCAGAATCACTGAAGTAGTTGATGCAGGTCATCGAATCCCAGTTCCGTAGATCAATGCTCATGCTGTTGATCACTGGATTGTCTGATCCAGACTGGACCATTTACCGTCTGCCGCCTTATGGCTGGAGATTTGCTGAGTGGGGCGTAAAGTAACAAACAAATCAAAACCTATCTTATATAATAATTATGATTATGTTATTTTGTAACGAAGGTCATTCACCTGTTTTGCAATTAACATGGTTTGTCATTCGCCTGGGCGTGGCTCCTGAACTCTCCGTGCTGCTACAGGTCAGCATCGCTATCGTAGCTTCAGCATCATTTGCCTCTTCAGGTTCATACATATCATTGTAGAGCAAATTGCGTGAGATCGATACCTATAATGTCAATCACGTGATTGTCTGGTTCAGACAGAGATTATTTACAGACCGTTTTCATGTAGCTGTTGTATTGCTTAATGCACGCAAGTCAAACGGCCAGGCTCGGTAATTTCATATTGTTTGTCATCGTCATCTTACAAATATATATCACTGGTTTGACTAGATCCAGAGTCTGGGTGATGTTAGTGCAAGAGTACATAGAGGATTCCCCCATGGTTATAATACATGTTGTCGGGTTTCAGGAGTTTGAAACATATTGCGACACTTTGTTAACCCATGAGAGAGGCGCGACCATCCAAACTGAAGTATACAACTTCGGTTAGCTGCCGTGGTGGAGCGGGTTAGGCTTCTGACTTGTGTGCTGACGATTAGGTTCCTGACTCTTATGGTGTGGGTTCGAATCCCGGATGGGACTCAGTCTAACAAAAGGGTTAGAATATGTTATTTACTAAGAATGTGTTGCCCCTAATATAACTTCAGTTAGTGTTCCTCTAGATCGTTGAGCGCATATTTTTTTTTTCCAAACCGGTTAAAATTGCATACAACCACAGCACATCCTGGGAATCCTGCAACAAACTGAAGTGCCGTAATGCTTTGATGACCAGCGAAGTTGCTGGTGGTCTATAGCCCAGTTGTATTTCATACTAAATAACACAATGGTAAAGTTTTTGTTTTAAACATATTTTGATTTGGTTTGTTTAATACCTACACTTTGACAGAGAAGAGCCGATTTACTATTCTTGATCGACAGACATTTAATGATAGGTGAGGGGTGAGGTGAAATTGGGTTTAACGTCGTGCTTGAGAATATTTCGCTCATATGACGACGTGCATACGTGTAATATGTTAATGTGCGGCTGCTTGTACTAGCCCTGACTGAAGCTGGTTTTATAGTACTAGCCCACTGAGATACCATGCCGCATTGAAGCATGAATACCCCACTCAGACACATTATACTGACTCCGAGCCGACCAGTCCTTGTTGTACCCATTAATGCCGAGCGCCAGGCAGGGACCAACACGTACCATATTTAACGTATTTTGGTGTAATTGACATGTTGAATAGCTACTTAGCCATTTAAGAGTTAAAACTTAACGTCACATCAGGAATATTTCAGCCATATAATGACGAGATACGTTTTGCATATATACTACATTTAAGTTGTTAAAATTAGGTGATCAAAGGACTGTAAAATAGCTAGAGTGTCACACATACGGTATTTATAACTAGCATGAAAATCTAAAACTCTTTTACTATTGAAGACAATACAACAACTAGATTATCATCACAGGAATACATTTAAAACTAGTAATTAAATCTAAAATATTTTAACTATTGATGACATTACAATATATAAACAGGCTATTTGTCGCTAACAGATGAAGGTAGATCACAACACTAGGTACCAAGGGGACTTACCGACAGTTTAATGAATGTCAGCTTCTTTTGGAGTATATCCTTACTCCTCGTCATGATTCACCTGATATAGAGTAAGGAGTAAGTATAGGCTACGAAACATTGTGTTCCTCACAGTAAAGAAGTTGACATCCATAAACCCATCTTCTTATCTGAATCACTTCTAGATTCAATTCAAGAACCTCATAGTATGTAAGCTAAAAGTGTCATATATTTGTGATCATTTATACATTCTGTCAGATATACACTTTGTTCTAATTTGATTTCTGCAGGCAGACTAGGAGAGCTGAGGAACTCGTGGCTCATGGTTCTGGCTGTCAGCAACTCATTGTGGCTCATTCTCATCATCACTTTGGCAGCTAAAACCCAGTTCAAAATCTTTGGTGCGAACTCATTAGGTGCGTATACAAAGAGTATGTGATGATGACAGACGTGAAGGACACTTAACGGATCCGGTTGTCTCGTTACGCATACTATCAACCTCTGGGTTGTCAGGTTCAGAATCGAATGCTTACTTGATATGGAATGACCAATTCGGTACCCGTCAAGATCCAGGTTAGAATTGGCCTTCAGCAAGCCATACTTGTCGTAAGAGGCGACTAACAGGTTCGGGTGGTCAGGCTTGCTGACTAGCTTGCCACTCGTCATTGTATCCCAATTGCGTAGATCGATGCTCATGATGTTGACCACTGGCTTGCCTGGTCAAGACCCGATTATTTACAGACCGCCGGCATAAAACTGGAATATTACTGAGTGCTACATTAAACAACCAACCAACAAACCAACCAACCTTGACCATGTCGGTGTTTGGCCATACAGAACTACTGACACCAAATATAGATCGTCATATTTTCGCAATTTCGGAAATCTATGCTATGTTGTCATACTTACATCACTGTTTTATTCTTCAGCATAGTAACCTATTTCTGTATTCTGAACTTGGTGGATGACTGGTTATAGTCATAAACGGAGTATTTGGGACGAAACATTATACTTTCCCAGAACGAAAAGATTTCTTTATCTCACATAGGGTAGCCCAGTGGTAAGCTTGAGTCGTCACGTCGAATGTCCGGGTTCGACTCCTACATCAGTGCCATGGCTGTGACATTGCTGGGATATTACTAAAAGCCTTGCAACAACATAGCAACACACCCTTCATTCAAGCAAAATCTCTGATTAGAGGAAGTATCCAAATTACCATAATGTCCCTTGTTTCAGCGAAATTACCGAACGCACTCTCGTGTGAGTGGGTATTTTGGTCATTCTGCCACTCGCGTACACCTAGCCTTTTACACTGTTTTTTAATGACTCATTCACATAATTTCACAGTCATTTTTCACTTTCACCAAATAGAATTCATTGAAGACTGTACATTGATTAGCATTGATGTTTCATAGTTAGAAGTCGAACTCCGCATTCTCTGTGTTGTTCAAATAGTGTTGTTTCTATACCTGCCTTGTATTAACTGTATTTCCAGGTCTGAGCTTCCTGCTGATATTCGGCATCCTGCTGGTGATACAATTCCTGGCCATGATCATCCACCGCATCTCAACTCTCGTCCATTTCATGGCCAGGGCACCGTTCAAATATGGAGAACCGATGGCGACCTCCTGGTCCTTCCAAAGCCAGCTCGTGCCTCATGATCCCGAGTTGCAAGACGACGTGGAGACCATACGAGCAGTAACGGATGATGAGTCAAGGCAACAGGAAGCAGAAAGGAGACATATAGATTCTTCTTCCGGGAGTATTTCTGCCACAGCTCCACTGTTGAGTACTTCAACCCAAAGAGAGCTCAAAACACCACCCTTTTAAACTGAGGGTAAAGCTTCGATGAACGATTGTTTTTCTTTCCCGAGTGAATTATCATGTGAAGTATCATTTCTGTATATTTTGATTGTTTTCACCTGTCAAGACCAATAGTGTCGCAAGTATTGCTATACCTGAGTGTGTAGAATATCCATGCATCAAAACTGCAATTGCTGAAGTATTTTTGTCATGAAGCATAATATTGTATCAGGTGGACCACAATCCGGCCATCCTTAAACTCTTTGACATAGTGGTCGGAAATTACAACTTTTTATGTCGGAAATTACAACTTCCAAACGTGGAGACTATTTGCTGTACTCACATTTCTATGGTCCATTGAGAAGGCACATGCAATTCCAATTTTTCAGACGTACTTTCCACGTAAATAATTAATCTTGATTGAATATACATCCTTGTTTCACACAGTCACGGCTTTTAACGACTGAGTTGCACTGTGTGGTATAATGAAGGTCCATGTGTTTCATATCACATAATACGATTGCTCATAACTCCACACAAACAAAACATAACAGCTTCTTCTTTTAGGTCCGATAAAACACAAAGAGTTAAACTGAAAAAAGTATGGAGTTAGTTTCGTTTGTTAGGATAAAATAGCACAAGCATATTTGTATTTACTGTGCTGTTGTCCACAGGTTCCTTGCCGCAAGCAGTAACCTTAACCTATATAAGGTAACGGTGCATTCGCTGTTAAACACGTAAACCAAATAGGTAGATCGACAACATTATCTTCAAGGCATCCGAAAGATCTACCCTATTGATATAGACATTGGAAAAGCCCGTGTGTGTGTTATAACATTTCATGAGGTTTTAAATGAAGAACTGTCAGTTTTTTTCCTATTTATAACGGTGTAATATATGAATTGCATAATATAAGCAGCTTCGATTGGCTGTCTGCCCAGCCATCATTACAATTGCAAAATGTATTATGTGTATTCCACCCAGTTGTTCAGGTATATGTCCAGGATTTCAATGCCTTTTTAATACGCAATCTTCCTTTCTACCAGATTAATTTGACATGATATAAAGATGTGCCTTTCGATACCGTTCGCTCTTGTTCCACAAATACATTCCATTGATTCAATTAGCATCAACCAACCAAATCTTCATGAGGCAGTAAATCGCGACTAACGGGATCGGGTAGTCAGTCACTGGATTGTCTGGTCCAGGCTCGATTATTTATAGACCGCCGCCATATAGCTGCAATATTGCTGAGTGCGGCGTGAAACATCAATTAATCAATCATTGTACAACAGGAATATTGTTAAAAGAACGAAACACAATTGCCTCCCTCAGGTAATTACCCGCGAAGGTCCCGGTTAGAATATTGGACTTCAGTAGCCCATGCTTGTCGTAAGAGGCGACTAACTGGATCGGGTCAGGCTCACTGACTTCGCTGACACATGTCATCGGTTCCCAATTGCGCAGATCAATGCTCATGCTGGTGATCACTCGATTGTCTGGATCTGACTCGAATATTTACAGATCGCCTCCTTATAGCTGGAAAATTGCTGAGTGCGGCGTTAAACTTAACTCACTCACTCATTTCGGCTACTGCCTCATTGTCTGTGTTTCATATATCTTTGTCTGTGACGTGTACGACCACTGAAGCAGGTTACGATTACATCATTACCTTTCAATATTGATTCAGGAACACGTGATATAGTAAAATCATAAAGATTCCTCGTCACTCTAGAATGGATTTTGTTGCTAAACTCTGTTGAACAATTCGATAGCCAACACACGCCGTAGGTTTCAAACAGTTTCAGCTGACTGAAATACGAGAGTTACATTGGATTTGATTTGCTGTGCTTGGGAATTACTACAATAAATGTATACGTTGCTAGTCTGAAATAATAAACACGAGACATCAGCACTTTATGGGGTGTTGAAAGTTTATTCACATTCCAAAAGCTACGTGATAACTGACAGATGCATTGATATACTTTAGAGAGAACAGAGTTGAATGAATCAAAATATAAGATTAAATCAGCACTATAACAAGACCAACAAGCCTTAACCAAGAAAAAAACACACCTATATCTAATACAACAAGCCATAAAGCAAAGAAAACATGAGAAGGACAGGACTATGATTACATCAACTACGAATGGTATTAAAACTAACATGGAAGCATAAAAAGATATCACCACACGCATAAAAAATGGCAACGCAATGCTAATGTTAATTTTCCAGCTATAAGGAGGCGATCTGGAAATATTCGAGTCAGATCCAGACAATCGAGTGATCACCAGCATGAGCATTGATCTGCGCAATGTTAATGTGTTTAAACGATGCTTTGCCCGTTTAAGGGCAAAGCATCGTTGACGTTAGATGACCATGCCCTTTGAAGACTTTCATTACCTTTGTTTGTTGCTGGAAATTATTGACAAATGAAGCCGAACATCATGATGATAGTCATTTTACACATGTGAAACAAATCAAACAATTCTAAAAGGTTTATAGCAGACACAAAACACAGTAGTTTGTGGGTACCTGATATTTTAAACAAAATGTCTATAAATTTAGTAAGATAAATGTTCATGACTCATGAGAGGTTTCTCATCAGTGACAACAGGTTACACAATCATAGATTCTCAGTTGGCGTCACGTTAAATATCACCATCTAAATACAACTAGATAGGCTACAATTAAACATATCATGCAATACATGTCCGCATTTACAATTCACTATGTAGACTGGTGTCTTGATTCAGAATTCCAAGACAATTTTTAATGAAAGAAAAACATGCACATACTGGCAAACAAGGATAAGTTGGGCACTGACCTGACAATTGACGCGTATTAGCATATATATGAGTGCCGCCCAATGGCGCTTGCCATTGTTAGGGAAGGGCCCCCAGTTGTCCGCGATCAAGTGTAGTGCGATGGGTGAAGAGCGTGGCCTGTCTAATCAATTTCATGGTCATGTACTGCACGTGCACTAGCCTACATCTGCTCTACCTTTCCGAAACCAAATGGATTTGCTCATTGCCGTGCACCGCCTACTTCTCGTAAACGCGTTCTCTGCTCCGGTCCAACTTATCCTTGTTTGCCTGTATATGCATATATGACACCAGTCCGGATACAGACTTGGCTGTCCGGTTTTCAACAATAAAAAACAAACACAATCAGGTTAGTCAGGTTACATCCTGGTTCCCTGGCGTCTCATGCTCTATATTAACTAATGAAAGGCACGACAACCAGGATGTATTAACTAATGAAAGGCCCGACCAACAAGGATGTATTAAGTAATGAAAGGCCCGAGAACCAGGATGTATTAACTAATGAGTTGCCCGAGAACCAGGATGTATTAACTAATGAAAGGAACCAGAACCAGGGTGTATTAACCAATGGTAGGCCCGAGAACTAGGATGCATTAAGTAATGAGTTGCCCGAGAACCAGGATGTATTAACTAATGAGTTGCCTGAGAACCAGGATGTATTAACTAATGAAAAGCCCGAGAACCAGGATGTAGTAAGTAATGAAAGGCCCGAGAACGAGGATGTATTAACTAATGGTAGGCCTGAGAACCAGGATGTATTAACTAATGAAAGGCCCGAGAACCAGGATGTATTAACTAATGAGATGCCCAAGAACCAGGATGTATTAACTAATGAGAGGCCCGAGAACCAGGATGTATTAACTAATGAAAGGCCCGAGAACCAGGATGTATTAACTAATGAAAGGCCCAAGAACCAGGATGTATTAACTAATGAAAGGCCCGAGAACCAGGATGTATTAACTAATGAAAGGCCCAAGAACCAGGATGTATTAACTAATGAGATGCCCAAGAACCAGGATGTATTAACTAATGAAAAGCCCGAGAACCAGGATGTATTAACTAATGAAAGGCCCGGGAACCAGGATGTATTAACTAATGGTAGGCCCGAGAACCAGGATGTATTAAGTAATGAGATGCCCAAGAACCAGGATGTATTAACTAATGAAAGGCCCGAGAACCAGGATGTATTAACTAATGGTAGGCCCGAGAACCAGGATGTATTAACTAATGAAAGGCCCAAGAACCAGGATGTATTAACTAATGAAAGGCCCGACAACCAGGATGTATTAACTAATGAAAGGCCCAAGAACCAGGTTGTATTAACTAATGAAAGGCCCGGGAACCAGGATTCATTAATTAATGGTAGGCCCGAGAACCAGGATGTATTAACTAATGAGAGGCCCGAGAACCAGGATGTATTAACTAATGAGTTGCCCGAGAACCAGGATGTATTAACTAATGAAAGGAACCAGAACCAGGGTGTATTAACCAATGGTAGGCCCGAGAACTAGGATGCATTAAGTAATGAGTTGCCCGAGAACCAGGATGTATTAACTAATGAGTTGCCTGAGAACCAGGATGTATTAACTAATGAAAAGCCCGAGAACCAGGATGTAGTAAGTAATGAAAGGCCCGAGAACGAGGATGTATTAACTAATGGTAGGCCCGAGAACCAGGATGTATTAACTAATGAAAGGCCCGAGAACCAGGATGTATTAACTAATGAGATGCCCAAGAACCAGGATGTATTAACTAATGAGAGGCCCGAGAACCAGGATGTATTAACTAATGAAAGGCCCGAGAACCAGGATGTATTAACTAATGAAAGGCCCAAGAACCAGGATGTATTAACTAATGAAAGGCCCGAGAACCAGGATGTATTAACTAATGAAAGGCCCAAGAACCAGGATGTATTAACTAATGAGATGCCCAAGAACCAGGATGTATTAACTAATGAAAAGCCCGAGAACCAGGATGTATTAACTAATGAAAGGCCCAGGAACCAGGATGTATTAACTAATGGTAGGCCCGAGAACCAGGATGTATTAAGTAATGAGATGCCCAAGAACCAGGATGTATTAACTAATGAAAGGCCCGAGAACCAGGATGTATTAACTAATGGTAGGCCCGAGAACCAGGATGTATTAACTAATGAAAGGCCCAAGAACCAGGATGTATTAACTAATGAAAGGCCCGACAACCAGGATGTATTAACTAATGAAAGGCCCAAGAACCAGGTTGTATTAACTAATGAAAGGCCCGGGAACCAGGATTCATTAATTAATGGTAGGCCCGAGAACCAGGATGTATTAACTAATGAGAGGCCCGGAACCAGGATGTATTAACTAATGGTAGGCCCGAGAACCAGGATGTATTAACTAATGAAAGGCCCGGGAACCAGGATGTATTAACTAATGAGAGGCCCGAGAACCAGGATGTATTAACTAATGAAAGGCCCGAGAACCAGGATGTATTAACTAATGAAAGGCCCAAGAACCAGGATGTATTAACTAATGAAAGGCCCGAGAACCAGGATGTATTAACTAATGAAAGGCCCAAGAACCAGGATGTATTAACTAATGAGATGTCCAAGAACCAGGATGTATTAACTAATGAGAGGCCCGAGAACCAGGATTTATTAACTAATGAAAGGCCCGACAACCAGGATGTATTAACTAATGAAAGGCCCAAGAACCAGGTTGTATTAACTAATGAAAGGCCCGGGAACCAGGATTCATGAATTAATGGTAGGCCCGAGAACCAGGATGTATTAACTAATGAGAGGCCCAAGAACCAGGATGTATTAACTAATGAAAGGCCCGAGAACCAGGATGTATTAACTAATGGTAGGCCCGAGAACCAGGATGTATTAAGTAATGAGATGCCCAAGAACCAGGATGTATTAACTAATGAAAGGCCCGAGAACCAGGATGTATTAACTAATGGTAGGCCCGAGAACCAGGATGTATTAACTAATGAAAGGCCCAAGAACCAGGATGTATTAACTAATGAAAGGCCCGACAACCAGGATGTATTAACTAATGAAAGGTCCCAAGAACCAGGTTGTATTAACTAATGAAAGGCCCGGGAACCAGGATTCATTAATTAATGGTAGGCCCGAGAACCAGGATGTATTAACTAATGAGAGGCCCAAGAACCAGGATGTATTAACTAATGGTAGGCCCGAGAACCAGGATGTATTAACTAATGAGAGGCCCGGGAACCAGGATGTATTAACTAATGAGAGGCCCGAAAACCAGGATGTATTAACTAATGAAAGGCCCGAGAACCAGGATGTATTAACTAATGAAAGGCCCAAGAACCAGGATGTATTAACTAATGAAAGGCCCGAGAACCAGGATGTATTAACTAATGAAAGGCCCAAGAACCAGGATGTATTAACTAATGAGATGCCCAAGAACCAGGATGTATTAACTAATGAGAGGCCAGAGAACCAGGATGTATTAACTAATGAAAGGCCCGACAACCAGGATGTATTAACTAATGAGATGCCCAAGAACCAGGTTGTATTAACTAATGAAAGGCCCGGGAACCAGGATTCATGAATTAATGGTAGGCCCGAGAACCAGGATGTATTAACTAATGAAAGGCCCAAGAACCAGGATGTATTAACTAATGAAAGGCCCGAGAACCAGGATGTATTAACTAATGGTAGGCCCGAGAACCAGGATGTATTAAGTAATGAGATGCCCAAGAACCAGGATGTATTAACTAATGAAAGGCCCGAGAACCAGGATGTATTAACTAATGGTAGGCCCGAGAACCAGGATGTATTAACTAATGAAAGGCCCAAGAACCAGGATGTATTAACTAATGAAAGGCCCGACAACCAGGATGTATTAACTAATGAAAGGTCCCAAGAACCAGGTTGTATTAACTAATGAAAGGCCCGGGAACCAGGATTCATTAATTAATGGTAGGCCCGAGAACCAGGATGTATTCACTAATGAGAGGCCCAAGAACCAGGATGTATTAACTAATGGTAGACCCGAGAACCAGGATGTATTAACTAATGAGAGGCCCAAGAACCAGGATGTATTAACTAATGAAAGGCCCGGGAACCAGGATGTATTAACTAATGAGAGGCCCGAGAACCAGGATGTATTAACTAATGAAAGGCCCGAGAACCAGGATGTATTAACTAATGAAAGGCCCGAGAACCAGGATGTATTAACTAATGAAAGGCCCGGGAACCAGGATGTATTAACTAATGAAAGGCCCGAGAACCAGGATGTATTAACTAATGAGATGCCCAAGAACCAGTATGTATTAACTAATGAGATGCCCAAGAACCAGGATGTATTAACTAATGAGAGGCCCGAGAACCAGGATGTATTAACTAATGAAAGGCCCGAGAACCAGGATGTATTAACTAATGAAAGGCCCAAGAACCAGGATGTATTAACTAATGAAAGGCCCGAGAACCAGGATGTATTAACTAATGAGATGCCCAAGAACCAGGATGTATTAACTAATGAAAAGCCCGAGAACCAGGATGTATTAACTAATGAAAGGCCCGGGAACCAGGATGTATTAACTAATGAGATGCCCAAGAACCAGGATGTATTAACTAATGAAAGGCCCGAGAACCAGGATGTATTAACTAATGAAAGGCCCGAGAACCAGGATGTAGTAAGTAATGAAAGGCCCGAGAACCAGGATGTATTAACTAATGGTAGGCCCGAGAACCAGGATGTATTAACTAATGAAAGGCCCGAGAACCAGGATGTATTAACTAATGAGATGCCCAAGAACCAGGATGTATTAACTAATGAGAGGCCCGAGAACCAGGATGTATTAACTAATGAAAGGCCCGAGAACCAGGATGTATTAACTAATGAAAGGCCCAGGAACCAGGATGTATTAACTAATGAAAGGCCCGAGAACCAGGATGTATTAACTAATGAAAGGCCCGAGAACCAGGATGTATTAACTAATGGTAGGCCCGAGAACCAGGATGTATTAAGTAATGAGATGCCCAAGAACCAGGATGTATTAACTAATGAAAGGCCCGAGAACCAGGATGTATTAACTAATGAAAGGCCCGAGAACCAGGATGTATTAAGTAATGAAAGGCCCGAGAACCAGGATGTATTAACTAATGGTAGGCCCGAGAACCAGGATGTATTAACTAATGAAAGGCCCGAGAACCAGGATGTATTAACTAATGAGATGCCCAAGAACCAGGATGTATTAACTAATGAAAAGCCCGAGAACCAGGATGTATTAACTAATGAAAGGCCCGGGAACCAGGATGTATTAACTAATGGTAGGCCCGAGAACCAGGATGTATTAAGTAATGAGATGCCCAAGAACCAGGATGTATTAACTAATGAAAGGCCCGAGAACCAGGATGTATTAACTAATGGTAGGCCCGAGAACCAGGATGTATTAACTAATGGTAGGCCCAAGAACCAGGATGTATTAACTAATGAAAGGCTCGACAACCAGGATGTATTAACTAATGAAAGGCCCAAGAACCAGGTTGTATTAACTAATGAAAGGCCCGGGAACCAGGATTCATTAATTAATGGTAGGCCCGAGAACCAGGATGTATTAACTAATGAAAGGCCCAAGAACCAGGATGTATTAACTAATGGTAGGCCCGAGAACCAGGATGTATTAACTAATGAGAGGCCCGGGAACCAGGATGTATTAACTAATGAAAGGCCCAAGAACCAGGATGTATTAACTAATGAGAGGCCCGGGAACCAGGATGTATTAACTAATGAAAGGCCCGAGAACCAGGATGTAGTAAGTAATGAAAGGCCCGAGAACCAGGATGTATTAACTAATGGTAGGCCCGAGAACCAGGATGTATTAACTAATGAAAGGCCCAAGAACCAGGATGTATTAACTAATGAGATGCCCAAGAACCAGGATGTATTAACTAATGAGAGGCCCGAGAACCAGGATGTATTAACTAATGAAAGGCCCGAGAACCAGGATGTATTAACTAATGAAAGGCCCAAGAACCAGGATGTAT